GAAAATTTTCGTGCAATGATTTTTTATGACTTTCGATGTCATTTAAGTCAACAAGAAAGTTATGATAGACTACGATTGGCCTTTCACGATGAAGCCCCACCTCGTGCGACTGTTTACAACTGGTTTAATGAGTTTAAACGTGGTCGCACTAATCTCACTGATGATTTACGTGAGGGACGGCCTTCTACGGCGACGACTGAAGATAACATCTGTGTTGTGCGGCGTATGATAGAGACTGACAAAAGAGTGACCTATCAACAGATTCGGACAAGCTTAGGCATCGGTATGAGTCAAGTGCACAAAATCCTCCACGAACATTTAGCGGTCAGGAAGCTTTGCGCCCGGTGGATACCTCATAATTTGACTGAGGCTCAAAAACTCCATCGTGTGGATTGGTGTCGTAAAATGATTGAAAGATTTAACGGAGGTGACTCAAATGCTGTGTTCGACATACTAACAGGTGACGAAAGCTGGATTTACTGTTATGATCCTAAAACCAAAAGACAATCTGCTCAGTGGGTGTTTCCTTTCGAGGAGTTGCCAACTAAAGTGAAGAGAGATCGAAGTGCGGGAAAAAAAATGGTGGCCTCGTTCTTTGGAAGGATAGGTCATTTTGCAACAATTGTGTTAGAGGATCAAAAAACAGTTTCTGCAGAATGGTACACTACCAATTGTTTGCCACTTGTCTTGGAAAAAGTTCGAGAGAAACGACCTCGCAGTAGGATCCTCCTTCACCACGACAACGCCTCGTCGAACACCGCCAAGAGAACGATCGACTATTTGGCGACATCAAACGTTGAATTACTGGGTCACCCGCCGTATAGCCCCGACCTCGCGCCTTGTGATTTTTATTTATTTCCAAAAATTAAAGAAAAACTTAAAGGAAAGCGGTTTATGAATGCTGAAGAAGCGGTGGCTGCGTATCGCGATGCCATTGAAGAGACCCCTAAGGACGAGTGGGCAAAGTGCTTTTCCCAGTGGTTCCATCGCATGCAGCGGTGTATTGACGTGAATGGACAATATTTTGAAAAGATATAATAAAACTAATAACTGGCTAATGTAATCAGTTTTTGATTTTCTAAGAACTTTCAGTTTGACCCTCGTATTACTTTAAAAGCCGAAGCAGGTATTTTATTGTATTTGGCAGGTGCAAATTTGTAGTTCGCAATTCAGTCGTTTTAGGGTTCCATTCAAACAAAACAGGTCCCTATTACTAAAACATAGCTGTCCGTCTGGCTGTTTCCCTGTTACAGTTATAGTTAACACCCTGTGATAGTTAGATAGTTGATTGTATGTCATTAACCGTGATAGTTAGATAGTCGATGATCTATTTACGCCGCCGCTATAACAACGAATGCTAAAAACAAACAAAAATACTTAAGAGGGTCATTAAGGTGGCCCCCATACAAACTTGATTTATTGTATTATTTTTGGATAACTAGCTGACCCAGCAAACGTTGTTTTGCCATTTAAATATGGGGTGGACCACCTTTATTACTTAGGAGTATAAATATAGATAGCAACCTATTCTCAGACCAATTCAGCAAAATCAATTATGGTAACTAATATTGTGACAAAGAATTTTATATATGCGAGTACAACTTGCATTAGGCCGGTTTTTTATATCCAAACTGCAAGCTTTATCTACTTATTTAACGTAAAGTTAATTTGTGTGTAAGTGCTTGGTGAGCGATGAGGTTATATCGCTCTGGTTTACCCCATTTCGATGCTGTTTCGGTTCACTAGCAGCCGAGAAGACTGCACTGTAGTGGCCATGGAGTCGGTGAAAATATTCTGCTGCATGCAATTCTTCGTATACATTCGGCATGAAGTTTCGAAGTAGGTTCAATGCCAATTCAAAGTACAGGTCAATGATGTAACGCTTTCGAAGTGAATCTGTACGCAGCCTAGTGAAGGTTGCCGGATAAATGGGCTTTGGTTGGATTATCCGGATTTTTCACACATTGCCCAGTGTCAAGGTTTTAAGCGAAATGCCCATTGACAAAACGGTAGGTTTATTTAAAAAAAGTCGGGCTGCTCGCTGAGGAGACTGATTCTTCTTTAAATAACTGTCTTTCATATACTTAATATGATAGTTAAACTATAACGCAACATACGTATGATTAACAGCATATCGAGTTGTACAGAACTGTAAAAATGTAATCGAGTTCTTAGTGCCAAAACTTTCTGTTCATGAATTCTCATTAAAGTAAAACTGACCTTAGCTATGGAACACGTCACCGTCTACTAGGTGACCTTATCATGTAATAAAAATTTTGAAGATCTTTCGGACTTGAATAATTTTTCGATGGTTGTTTTTAACAGGAAAAACAAGTGACACTTCTCAAAACTAGATAATATAGACAAGCGCAAAGGTCAAGGCATTAATATTAGAGTTCGTTTTATTCTTTTGTAGCTAAAGTACCTTGTTTGTTAAGACAATAAACTTTGTGGATGGTCATGAAAGGATATCAAGACACGATCTGAATTCAAATTCAGAATCGGAATGAACAAGCATTATGGGGTGGTAGTTTCAGAAACAGGAAAAACAAGCAAACTTAGAAAGGGAATGTACGTCAAGCGAAAGACGTGAATAAAGACAGTATTTGGTGGTGCTCTATTGTCCTCATGTATTTTTTGGTAACGCATAGACAATGCTCCTCATGCCTCAAATCGTGGCTCTCCAACCACTAGAACGTGCCTGAGAGGTGAGGTCAGGTGTGGCTGATCTTTGTACCCAATAGATAAAACCCTAACCACGTTTGAGTCACCTCTTTTTGACGCCGTCAGCGTTAGGAAAAAAAATTTGAGTACATTGTCATTTACTCAAATCTCTCTCTCTCTCTCATGCCTTTTCCATAGATAGGGAAACGTTCCGCTAATGCGGGATATGACTGGAGTGTCAGCACAAAACAAGGTTCAGCGGAAGGAAAGGATACGTTAATTCGCGTTCCTTTAACCGTTCCATTCGTCCCTCTTGCCTCCTTATTCTGTAACTCTGAGGACAACCGAAATGAATTATTCAGAGAGCTCTGTGGGCAAGCCCACTTGTTTGGGCAAGAAGAAATTTTTGGATTGTCACGTATTACGAATAAGTGATTTTAACACATTCGAATTATTCACTTTTTACGGTGATTAAGATTTTAGGCTGTCAGTTGAGTTAGCAAATAGGCCTGCAGGCCTACCTCTAAATCAGAATTAGGATGAAAAAGTTGGAGATAGACAAATAATTTAAGATTATCTTCTCTTAAAAGGGAAATATGTTATGCTTTATATTTTTTAATTATAATTGCGAGTTCTAATGAAAGTTTAAAAATACTAAGATTATCTGGGGTACATAAATTCAATATACATATTTTGTATATTGCGTTTTTGGAATATACTTGGACTTTCTAAATGACCAAAATGGTCATCAATTAAACTAATTATATAGGCTACCACATGGTTTTGAAGTTATAAGAACATGCAACAATTCAACCTTTGTATTATAAATGCATAGTTGTAGGTCTATTTTTGCCTGTATTAGGAAGGTATATATTCCGGATATATTAAAAAGCGCTGATGTAACTTAACGTCCAAATAGTAGAATAAAAAATATTTAAAGGAACCATGGTCTTTCGTTATAACATCTTATGTTAAATTTACTGTATTTTCATGTGGACGTAAACAGGAATTTAATTTTTATATGGACACATTAGTCTCGTGAGTGCGTCTGTATATAATTTTGTGTGTAGCAGGGTCAATGTCGGTCATATCATTGAAACTGGCGTCGTCTAGTAAACATTTCAAAGCGTACAAATTAAATAATATTGTCAATACGACACTATAAAGAATCAAATCTAATTTGAATTGAACTTCCAATACATTAAAATTTAAAATCAATCATGTTAGCGTCGTAACATTTTTTCCAATCTCTTCAACAAATCTAATGACTCCGTAGTCGAGAGGTTCGCACGCCGTTTTGAAAGCATCACGTCACCTCATGAGATCTCGGGTTCAAATCCCGACCGGTCAATTAAGAAAATTAATTGTTCTATATTGTCTCTGATCCGGGTATTATGGTACTTTCGTTGTTTCAGATTTCTATAACACAAACACTAAATGCTTCTTTATATGGGATCTGAGCAATAAATGTGATAGTGTGTAATATTAATTTATTATCATCATACACAAAACCTTAAAGTAATAGTCATAAGCAGCATGTTTTCATCTAGCACAATTTTCTTCTAAATCATTACACATATTGCCTTATTTCATACAAATGTCCTATTCCTTTTAGTCCTATTGGAATCAAATCGTGGTCGATTTGATCGAGTCTATTTAGTTTATCAATTTCTTTAGTAGCCTTGATAGTAACAATGTCACGTGGAGTGTTCACTTCCTCGTTGTGGAAGGAAGCACCTACACATACAAGGTTGATATGCAAATTGTAATATGATGCGTTACTCCGATTAGGATGAGGAACTAATTGTTTGGAAAAAAACATAAAATCCAATATTTTTATTCAATTAATGTAGATTAAATATTCGGGGAAAGATTAGTTTATACTATTCTGGTTTGATCTGGAGTGAACTTCTGGTTTTGTTTTTGGAAGATAATTAACTAGTTAATTTAAATCAGCCATTCTCAATAATATGCAAAGGTTATGTTCGGGGTCAACGAAAATAATGGTTATTATTTTATTTTTTCAATTATGCACTCACAATGCTATAGAACAAAATATTCATGATAGATGAATGCTAATGATTAATGCTTAAAAATTCACCAGCATCAGGTACTCTGAGATGGGACTCGAACCGACGACTGCTCTAACTACTGGCTACCCAGTACCTAACAGGACTGACGAATTTTTTCAAGCACTTGTTACTTTTACTATATGATAAATCAAATCGTTTTTGATTACTACTACGAAGAGATATCTCTGGAGTTATAATTTCCATTGTCATTATAAAAGCGTGATTCATTGAAAACTACAAATGATAATTTAATTTATTCTCAAGGTATCCAGCACGCGATCGGCGGGCTGGCGTCCAAGCCTGAGAGAGATCTGCTCATGCAAGATTTTATGACTGTCGAGACGACAAACTTCCCCCACGAAGGCTCGAATCACACACCGGCGCATCACTATTCGGAGTTCAAGTTCAAAACGTACGCGCCTATAGCGTTCCGATACTTCCGCGACCTCTTTGGGATACAGCCGGACGACTTTCTGGTGAGTTATGGTCGCCTGGTACTTTTAGTGTGGTGTTGTATCGCAAGCTTGGATTAAAATATACACACCTTAATTCTATTGATCAGAAAATAATGTGAATGATATCTTTGGCAAGATTAGCTTTCTTTAAACTTGCTTTACAGCACTATGAAACGTTTGGAAGATTCAATAGGAGCTCTGTTTTTTCTGTTCAGATGTCTATGTGCAGTGCTCCCCTACGTGAATTGAGCAATCCCGGAGCATCGGGCAGCATATTCTACTTGACTAACGACGATGAATTCATCATAAAAACGGTGCAACACAAAGAGGGCGAATTTTTGCAGAAGCTACTGCCCGGGTACTATTTGAATCTCGACCAGGTTAGTATATTTCTGGAGTAGTTTAACAGCTGCAGTTCATATTTGCTACACTCCATAAATAACACATAATCCATTTAAAAGCTTGCGTACTCTTTTTGAGGCGTCTCCTACTTAATACTTACTTGTATATCAGTTTAATGGCAATCTCTTTTTACCAAATAATGTTGACTTGTTTTAGAGTATCATTGTTTCTACTCAATTTGATAAATATTGAGCGACCCAACCCTATTAATACATACATACATCATCACAAATGTCAAACTCACAATCGCCTTCTAAATTGAGGAAAATTCAAAGTCTCAACTGATTATTCTTAATAACATTAGTTTTTTACGTTTCACAAACAGCTATCAACTGATCATTAAACTTTAAATTCTCAATTCAAAAACCAGGTGTAATTCACTTATATGTTTCTCTAACAATTTATGATCCAATGTGTAAATTGTTTGGTTTCAGAATCCCCGCACATTACTACCAAAGTTTTTCGGACTCTACTGTTACCAATGCAATAGTAAGAACGTTCGACTAGTGGCTATGAATAATATATTGCCTTCATCAGTGAAGTTACATCAAAAATATGATCTTAAAGGCAGCACATACAAACGAAAGGTATTGTTAATTAAAAGGATGGTTTTTAATGTTATTATTTTCCCTTGACGTCACTATGTCTCTGACAGAGGTTATACAGTTCCAAAACATCAGCTTCTCGACTTTTTTTTTTCAACTAACACTACCAAATTTTAGAACTTACCGAGCTGAGTTCAAACTACATATAATGTATATGAAATGGGAAAAGTCATTAATATATAGATATCAATTAAAAAAGTTCTCGGTTTGATATCGGGTTGCGTTCATACGCACGCGGTTTTTGGTACTTTTTGCTGAAAAACTGATACATTGCGGTTATCGTTTCCAGTCAGATAATACGTGCGCTTTAATAGTGTGCTACGAATTGTAAGTTTCAAATTTGCGTCTCATAGCAGTGCTGGTCTGAATCTCGGACGGACATTGTGCTTACCAATATATAGTGGTGAAATTTTTATGTCCAAATGAAGAGGTTTTATAACAATGAGTATAAACATGTTTTACTGTTTTATTTTGTCAACAGGCAAGCAAAACGGAAAGACAAAAGGGCTCCCCCACCTATAAAGACCTGGACTTTATGGAACATCACACAGAGGGTATATTCCTAGAAGCGGACACTTATAACGCGCTCATTAAAACTATGCAGCGGGACTGTCGTGTATTAGAAAGTTTCAAGGTAACTCGTTAATGGGTTCAGTAAGTTCCAGGCTAAAACACAGTCGTCGAACGGAGTATTTCGCACATTGACATTACATATATCTCATTCGTGCGCATACATATTGGCTATTGATCTCGCACATATGCATCTAGCCTAAAATTATCCTATTGTTACTGTTAACTATTTACCAGTAGGCACAAAGGTCAACGTACTAAATTCTTTCTGTTCGGCGGCCGTGCTATAATATGGCGCAATTTTCGTTTATGCAGTGCAGATCTGTTAACTCCAACCGGACGTACGATTATGATTTACTTTTTCTTGTTTCAATACACATAAATTAAATTGTATTGTAAATTAAATATGGCGGGGCTTATTTGTCCGCTTATGTTCGTATCAATCACACAGCGATGGTCAGACGCGTGGATAGCAATATGTCGACGCTGGAAAGTAAACACGTAGGAACCTGTAAAACCAAAATGGATATTTAAAAGTAGAAAATCTTTATATTTTTCCAAAAGAATATCTTATTTCTATATTTTAACACATTATTTGTTATGATGGAAATTTATAAGAATTATTTTTCAAAAATAAAATATAAGATTTTCTGCTCTGAAGAACAATTTTGGTTTTGCGGGTTACTACGTGTTTGCTTTCCAGCGTCGATATTGTGTTGGTGGATCGCCAGATGGCGCAATACTTGAATCATTCTGATTGGTCGACATTTGTCGCGCTATGAAATGTAGCCTTTGCGCAGGTACATCAGTGAGCCACATCAGTTTAATTTTAATACAATCCCCTTGCGCTTCGTTTGGCTCGTCAGCAAAATTTCTATTTACTTTAAGAGACGTTTGAAGTTCTATCTGATTCTTATTCCCTATTATTTATATTGGAAATAAAGAAATGGCACACATATTGTGAGATAAGTTAATAACGCACAACATTTGTATCTGTTACCAACAGATAATGGACTACTCCCTCCTTGTGGGTATTCACAATCTAGACGAGGCGCAGAAAGAGAAGACCGAAGCAAGGAAGAGGTCAGATTTTGGTCAATGCGATGATGATGCTGAAGGAGAACCGAAGAGAGGTGGACTCAACAGAACCAGGTGAAATTCATATAATTTTTATTAGCCAAACATACATAAACTTTATAATGTTATTTTCCCTTCATCTAACTTAAAGTGTAATGTAACAGATTTATTTGTTTTAACTGTTGATAGATGTCGCTAGTGTTCTAATTTAATTTTCTAATTAAAATGAATTACTTTAAAGAAGCGTTTCATCATCTCGTGTCAATAGGTATTGGGACAGGTCACGTGATTTTTTTTTATTTTTTAAAGAAGCTTTGAGCGCTCTAATTCTGAAAAGAAATGGAAGTTTACTTTTTGCCTTATTTCACTTATTCACAAAAAAAAAAAACAACAAATTCGAATATCGGTACCACCTGTTTACAGTCACAAATAATGAATCTGTGACGTACACTTATCGAAATAGCATTCTGATTATGATATGACAATTTTAAGAGAGTGCGAGGAATGTATGAAAGATGTTTTATTTTAATTTAAATGAATCAATATAGTATTGTTTTTCTTAAACCGGCAACAAAAATAATATACTTTGTAAATATATATATTTTGTACCGCATTAAGAATACTTTGACAGTGGAGATATGATTGGAAATTTTCAGGTCATCAGAGCAAAGCAAGGAAGATTTCGGCGCACAGGTCAAAAGAACACAGTACGACCAGTTGATACGTTTGTTTCAATGTTATTAGTGCCTGATGTAACTCTATGGTAGATACAATCATAAACAAAAGTGTTGATCGATAAATGTTTAATTGTAATTTCGTGCAATTATTCTTCAACTCTGACTTAACCATAGACAACAAAGAAGATTGATGGAATTACTGACTAAATATTTTGTGATAATTGTTAAATACTATTTCACGTGCTAAGTTTTCATACGGCTTGGTATGGTTATTAGAATATATTTTGCAAAAAATAATGTTGTAATTTGTTATTTAAATTTATTTAAATTACACATTGTTTGTTTTCACATATATAAGAAAATACTGTAGGATATATCGACAAATCGACCATTAACCTCAGAAAACAGTAGGCCATCATAATTAGCAACGTGTTTATATCATATTTATCTTTTTCTTCTTTAAATCAGATGAACATTGAAAATTGAATCGAGAACGATTAGACAAATATATACTATATTATATTTGTGACATAAAAGTCTTATAATTTTCAAGCTCTGACACGCGAATCATTTACCGTCAGATATGGACTGGCCTTTTTCCTGTGACCAAAGTAATGTTGTCTATGTAACAAATAAATAATAATATGTGAATTTTTGAATATGATTTTATCTACCACATTACAACTAAATCCTAACTTTGGCACAATTGAAGTATGCGTTCTAATAAGTGGTTGTGATCACGGAATATTTAAAAAATATGGAAAAGCAAAGTGACAGTGACGGAGTCGCCGCTCATTCATATAGGCAATAATCTCATTTAGTTGCCAGGTTGTATATAAGAATCTGCGTATAAAATAAATATCTGCGTAAAAATTTCAAAACTTTGGGATGTACTTAAAATTATACTTTATTCATTTAATTTTTGAGGGACTTTTCGATTCTTTTTGACTCCGAAATGTCGGGGTGCTCCCGACCATCTAGTATTATTTTTCAATAGCGTTCACGGAGACGTACAGTGTTATTACAAAAAAGATAAACACGCGTTGAACACGAGTTTAAAAATTGTTCTATTTGAGCATTGGTTAAGGCAAAACAACCCTTAAACATTGTTTAAAATTTAAACACATGTCATGTTGACACATGATATGTTGTTTATGGAGTATCTTACATTTCACAATAGTTTTGACTTTGATAAGAATTATGTCTTTGAATTTAAATTAAAAATGATAATTTTAGATTAAATATTTTCATTTACAAAAATTATTAACTAGTGTGTTTAAAAGATATCTTTTTACGTCTAAAATTTATTATAAGTTTGTATACAGCGTGCATAGAATTGAACGTGTATGAACGAATGAAAGCCAGTAGTACGAATGTTTCTTTACTTAGACAATGTTCAAAAATGAATTTGTAATAGGGAAAATTAGACATCATTTTAAACAGGGTTTATATTCTTAAACACAGTTTAGATAAACACATGGTAAAACACTGTTTAACGTCTGTTTTGTAATAACACTGATAATGTTCATCTTAGTGTGTACGTATAAGTTGCCAAAGGATTTTTCACTCTGCGCCTGTGTTTTAAAGATGTATTCATAATCGAAACATGTTATCAAATTATAGTGTACAAACATTTTGTTCTTGTACAAAATAGGTATTGAAGAAGATAGGTACAAAAGTTTGTGCTAAAAAGGCAAGAATTCGTTGCCGTTAAAATAATAAAAAATAGAAGTTGAGGCCTTTAAACTTTTTTTTATCTATTCCGTGGTTGTGATGCTTGAGTATGCATGTTTTAACATGTCATTTGTGGAGTGAGATTTGAGAAGCATGATGATATTCTTTACTCTAACGAAATTTCTACTACCGCTGTACTGATTTTGTGTTTTTTTGTTTTTATTAATTTTACTAATACTTCTTGTCATGTGATTACCTAACCTGACCCTAGATATTAGTAATTCCGTATAAAGGTTGCTTTATGACATTTTAATGACTTCCTATTATATACTATAGGAAGTAATCGTCTACTCAGTATGTTATTTTACGTACTAAATTTCCTTTCTTGTATTAAGCAAGTAAAATTGTATTTAGTTTACTTACACAAGACTCACTTAAAGACAAAAGAAAACATGCTAATGAGAGGGATAGAGACAGAACAGAATGTAATCGAAATAGAGCGTTAAAAATAATTTTGGTTTAATTTTTTATGTAGTAAGTAAATTTTATGATAATCTTACAATAGAAGTAAGAAATTAAACGTAGCTCTGTCCTTTTCTGTTACTCAGAACTTCCATTTGCTAGAGCAAGAAAGATCACATGTCTCTATCGTCTCGAGTACCTACTTTATTTATATAAGAATCCAGATGAAAAAAGTCGCTAATAGAAAGTTAATACTTCAATTTGTTAAAATAGACACAAATTCTAAAATTAACACATAACCACTTGTTGAATGGAAAGTTATTAATAATATTATTTGCTTGCGTGTTCTATGCGGTTATAAACGTGGCTGTATTTAATAATAATGGAAAACTAACGTAATTGTACACACACATAGCATTTGAACCTTATAAAGAGATTAAGATTTAAATTTGATTAGTTTGGATAACCTGATGTTGACCTGAGTTTTATAATAGTTTGAGTTTTTTTATAAAACTGTTTATGTATTCTAATATCAATAAATTATGATCATTATGTGATTTTAAATTGTGTAATCCAAACATACAGGATCAGTGAAAAAAAAAAAGAAATGCACATAGAAAAGCGTATATAAAGGTCCACTTGGATAAGAAAGGCTAAAATTTTTTGAGAAATTGTTTTCGTTTTTTTTCTGATATCAACGTAAAGTATGTGATGTTTATACAAATATGTATTTGTTGTGGACAGATCTATTAACAGACAGCGGTTGGTGGCCCATTCCACCGCCATGGAGAGTATTCAAGCGGAGAGCGAGCCCATCGACGAAGAGGAAGACGTCCCGTAAGTATTTATCTTGTAACTCCAACACGCGTTGATGAACTCGATAACATTTTGTCTACACCCAAATGTCACTTTCCTCGAATGCGCCCATGCGATATCTATCTCTAAACCCGAGAAAAATAACTTTACGTGTAGACAAAGCGTTATTCGAGTTTGTTTACGTTTGCTATCGCTTAATTCAGTACACATATTATTATAACTGAGAGTTAGATATTCAAAGTAGTTTTTTAATAAAATCTCAAATATAATAAGAATAATATCAAAACGAAATCTTTTTTTCATAAGTGTGAAATTTTGTAATTTGTAGCTTTCGTCTCGTAAGGTTGCCGACCTCTGGCCTAACTTTCGCCTAGTATAGTTACAGGAACGACATCTTAGCGAACATGTCTTTTAGTAGATAAAGTACTAAGTTCGTACCCTGCTGTCAATGTACACGATGTCGTATGCTATGGCGAGATAGTTGGGTGATCACATCCCTAGGGCTCTGCAGACACGATTCCGAAACTAAGAAGAATAAATAAAAGTTGACTGTATTGTTTCAATACTGAAGGATATATCTAGGGATACACCAACAACCTTGCGATATAATTATCGAAAAAGTATGTCAAGTTAAATTATTTTACACACTTACGTAAGTGTGCGAATTGATCAAAATATCTTGCTTCGTTCCTCAAATTATCTCCTAACATAAAATTTGTATAGAATCGTCTAATACATTCGTGTGGAGTTGAATCGAGTTGTTAGTTGGTAGATAACATTGAAGGGTGGTCACTTTGCGTGCTTAGATTAAATCTTTCATTGACTTGAAATAATTGAATTTCCGCTTTTTGACCACCTTGTTGGGTCCTTCAATGATTATGACGCTAATTGTATAATGCACATGTTATGGTCAGGCCGGGCGGCATTCCCGCGAGGAACGCGCGCGGCGAGCGGCTGCTACTCTTCCTCGGCATCATAGACATCCTGCAGTCTTACAGGCTAAGGAAGAAGCTGGAACACACCTGGAAAAGCATGATACACGACGGGGTAACTACATTTTTATCCATAAACACAATTACACAATGCTTGTCATAGAATGGTAAGTGTGCTTAAAGATCACAGCACAATTGTTAACGTAACCATTATAAGTTTAAAGCGACATTACCGAATTTTTTTCTCAAATTTAGAACATTCACTCGAGTTTTGAATCGTCATTAATTCCTTATGGACGTTTGTGCAACTGACCATGAATGACTCTTGTTCGGTTGCATAAATTTCCATTTAAATTTCATTAGTTTCAAGCGAAATTACCAATACAAATTAAGAATTTTATTAAAACTAGAACTTATACAGCCAGTTGTGCAAACGTCCATTAAAATTTACATTGGTTTAAAGCGACATTACTCATGCAAAATGACATTCATTAGAGCTTAAAGGCGTCATTAAACATTAATGGACGTTTAGATACTATTTAAGGTACACCAACAGCTATACATGTAAATACATTTTTTACATACGGGAATAATTGTACAAGACCTACGTGATAGCCACTAACTGGAATACCCAATATTGTTAAGATTTTGGTTAAGCTACATGAAAATACAAAACACTATCATATAATTAAATTAAAAAAATTATACTAACGGTCAGTTGCACAAACGTCCATTAAGATTTAATGACGACATTAATGAGTTATTACCAATAAAATTACAAAGTTAATCATTTGTGAATTTATCTGTTCGTACCCAATTAAGGTTTAAAATCGATTGTAGAAATTTTAGATAACCCGATACCGGTCGTGAAATTTTAATTCCAACCATTCGATTACAGGACACTGTTTCAGTGCACAGACCTAGTTTCTACGCTCAAAGATTCCTAGATTTCATGGGCAAGACGGTATTCAAGAAAATACCTTCGTGTAAGTATCTCTCTTTGTTTTATATTAGTTTCAAAGTGTCGGAAGAATCCTAAACTATACTTTTTGCAGCGAATAAGTTAATAACATTTTGAAGACGATTCGAAACTCATCTTTTCTTTTTTTTCTCTTCGATGATTCTATCCCTTTCGATAGCCGCTCAGATCATCACGCTATAAGAGCTTTAGTCTAGTATAATCTATACTCAACCTTATTGTTGTAGTGATACATTTGGAAATCCCTAATATAGATATCGCTATTGTGTCCCCAATATATAAGTAATGAAGTAAGACGTACAACGAAATGCATAATAATATAGAGGACATTTTTTACTAGATTAACTTAAAATTAGAAATTATATTAAAAGCAAATGTGTTTAGTTATATGCGATTTTGGTCCTTACTGGTCTCTGTTACAGACGACATATCGTTAAGCGGCTTACTTCCATTATATATATTATGAGAGCTATAAGTGTGATTAACTCCAATGTGTCTAATCTAGATTCCTTTGAAATTAGAAAATGTATTATCTTTATACGACCAACAGAATCCTACAAGGATTCAGTAAAGCCAGTTCTGCTCACTTGTTGTAGATAAGGGACAAAGAAATTGAGCCAAAATGTTATGATGCAGGGATTAGATCTTTACAAAAATATTATGGATATGTAGAATAACTTGAAATTGTTTTTAGTAATCGTAGTCTGATTTCTTTGTCCGCTAATATACATTATTGTTGTAAGTAATACTGCTAATATTATCGTTCACCTGTGATAACAAGATAGCACGCGAATTAATACAAGAGAAAAGTTATAAAATATTCAGTATTATATCAAAAAAATCTAGTAAAGGAGATTCAATACAGATTTCCTATTAAGAAAACAATAAATTAGCAGTTGACTATAGAACTTATTCTAAGCGACATGAGTTGTAATAGCTTTTTTGAGCAGCTCTAAGGAAATTGTTCGTTCGATTTTATACCTTATTTTTATAATGATTTGGGTCTAATTGGTGACGTGAACGTTGTTGAGCAGTGGACCTGCCAGAGATCAAGGGCAACCACCGCAAGTTCCGCACATTGGTCACCAGCTACATAGGTACTGTGGCCGCGCGACTGTTCTAACTCTTATGTGTGGAGGGGCGGGTGTTGGTTGATATTGGTCTTTTTTTTTTAATTTTAGTGGTATTGACTTTACCATCTTGGCCATACATTAGTCAGTTCGAAATAAAAAAAACTGCAATACTCTAATTATATCCATCACAAATGGACATTGATGATTTGACGGTTTAGTGTTGTTATCTATAATTGTTGTGGGAGAATCGATAATTGCGTTTCTGTTCGGACGGACTATTATGACAGCTTAAAACGCATAACTGTTATGGGAACAGTTATTTTTTTTATATATGCTTTAATTAATAATTTTAGAACTTATTGATATATTTATGAAAACAATATAAGAAATATTTGAATAATTAGATACCCAAATAATATGAAAGTATTAAAATTAATCATTTTAACAGCTCTGTTTGTTTTGTCAAAGTAATATTAATTATACCCTTTACGCAAATTTTGCATTCACGATGCTATGCTGATAAATATTCTTAATGATAAATGGTTAAAAAAGTCCACCAGTCCCAGTTGTCCCTGGATGGGATATTATTGTGCTAGTTAGTATTATAAATGGTTTTCTTAAATAAAAAAGCAAAACTCGTCACCGACAACGCCAACACCCAAACTTCTTTTTAACAACGTAGGAGTGAAAGTGTTTTAATTTATTTTTAATTTTGATTTCGTTACATCAAATAACATTTTGCAATGATGATTTATTAGGCATGTATTAGATTTTTTTTTCTTAATGTTTAAGTTTTTTTCTTAATTGGCTGTCGTTATTTTTTTTATCGCATGGCGGCGCTATCGTTATTTTTTTTTTGTTAAAATTGTTGTTGTTTCAAGTTATGCACGTCCCTCGCTCCCCAAATGTGTTGTGCGGTTTTGCCATCCGAGAATAATACCTGTGTTTTCTGTTTTCGTTTCTTTCCAAACTGTTGTCCGGAATCGGGTTCTGGCGCGCGTCACTGGAGGCCTGAGTGAGTTCGGCTTTAGTGATGTTACCTATCGAGCATGCCGAATTTATTGGCCCCCATTATATCGATATTATTGTGTATAGATTAGGAGAGAAGTGTTCGTGTTTTTAATTATTAGATTACTATTTTAATTGGTGTAAACACATTTGAAATTATTATTGCTAAAAAATTGATCGGTAATAATGGAAATCATCAAAATCACAATATGCTTTATTTAAAAACGTTTTGATTTTGGTGGTTTTCGTCTTAAACAACCATTTTTACAAGCGTGATCTATTGAATTGATGTATACTTTGCAACCAAATCTGAATTTATGCACAGGCAAAATTTTTGATCAGTGCTTCATTTCTTATACTTTAGGATCTTATAGTACAATATATTTTCCTTAGATTTTCATTTAAATATTATATTTACATGTTAATATTTATAAACATTTCTTTTTTCTATATCTTCGATGTTATTAGCTTAATAAAAGAGAAAGTAAATAGCAATGATGAAATTTGAACACTGATTACAATTTTTTCCTCTTAAAAATGAATCTTTTCATGAAGTTAAAAAATGTGTTTACGACAATTTTTTCTTGATCCTGTTGTTGATTGGTACTGTAGTCGACTGCCCACTGTAATGCATCGCTCAGTGGCGCCATCTACCTCAGCTTTCATCATCATTCTGTTCCTATCTGATATAGTAGTTAGAATTTCCATTTGTGTTCCATCTTATCTCTTTCCCTCACACTTTCTAATCATCTTGTTTTTCGATACTTCCAAAAATGAAATTTAGTCAGAGATTTTCGCACGAGTTTTTGTTCTGTTTTCGATTCTAAGCATTTTATTTTCGTTACGTTATGTTTTTGTTTCATAGATTTTATACACTTTATAAAGAAACAAATTAAATTTTCTTTGTGATATTCTTTCTCGACTGTCTTTTTCACTTGTATTTCATTCTTTTTCATTTAGCTTCAGTATAAATAGAGCTTTTAATAAACATAGGAAGCGAATCTTGCATACAAAAATAACTCTTAAAGCTTTCGTATTAGAATTATGTTTTGCGATAAATTGTTTGAAGTATTATTAAGATATTCTTAGATATTCATGCATGAATTTATTGAAATTATTCATCCATTAGATCGTTAGAATAAACGTGAAGACGTTTGAAACTCTATGCCGTTTATATATGACTGATAATAATTTGACTCTAGTTATTACTGTTCGTATTTTTCGTTCATTTTCCGGGCACGCATCGAATTAGCTTTATTCGCCGATAATACTTCAAACATTGCGTCGTTATTGAATTGGCGTGACTGTGAAATTTTATTTTTTAACCTTCACAGCGTTGAAACATTCACCGTCTAAACGCAAGAGCATCGCGAAGCCATCAAAACCGCAGGAAGAAGTAGACACCCCTGGTGAGTTTAGAAAAAGCCTAAATAATGTATCTATTTATACTATCCTTTGAAAATCATTCAGTAGACTTAATAAATGAGTTTGGCTTTCATTCAAATATTTTACTACATTTTCTATACTTTAACATGTAGGCAGAATGGTCAGAGTGCCATAAGGCTCTGTTCTTACATAAATTAATTATTATTATTCATAAATATTATTATATGTATTTGTATTTATCTTTTCTTTTTATTAAGTTAATATAGATATTTTAACACCTAATCCTGTTTTATGATGCTGGCTCGTACTAATATATATTTTTTATTAATATTAACCTTATTATCATAGTTATTTTTTTAACAAGTAGTTATCCTAAATATCCTAACATTCAGTGAATGCGAAAACTTTTTTGGTACCTATTTATTAGTATACATTTCAGTTTATTTTGTTACCCCCCACTCCCTGCCTCCCTCCCGGTGTTTGTTACCTGGTTTGCTGTTGTAATTTCGTTCTTATTGTTTACGTAATAGTGTAGTTGAAAATTTATGTTCTTTTTCTCTCTTTATTTTATACTCTATTCGATAATGTAAAATCGTCGCGATCCTCTCCGTTTTTTTAAAAGAAAAGCGTTTGTGGTGTGTTTTTTAATTGTGCTAATGGTGTTGGTCAAAGTGTTATACCAGAATGCGTCCCTAAACGGCATGCACTAAGCAGTGTGGGGTGGGGAGGGAAACAAATAAACTGAAATGTACCAATAGTTGTAGCAAAAAGTAAACATTTTAACGAGAGTCCTGTGTTACCAGGACGCATATACGTCGGAAGACCAATAAAGGACTACAATCCGGACTACATGAGGCAAATATCTAGATTGTCACCTAGATCTTCATTGAGATCTAGCATGAGCGATTTCACCGATACCACTATATCGACATGGAATCAGAGGCACAATCAGGCCGCTACAGAATACCCTTCGGTACTCTCCGACCGTTTAAAGATCCTTGACAGAGACAGAATTAACACATTACAGAGGCGAATAGATTTTGACACTTCAAATCTTCCCGGTCCTGGCACTTCTTACGCCGATAATGTGTACAGGACTTCTATTCAAGAACGTATGGAGTCTCTCTCCGATCAGTTAACCAAAGTATTGAGTACGGGAGCGGGTAGTTCGCACATAAACGGCAGTCTAGCCGACAGCGGTATCCAAACTGACAACACCAGTACAAGTGTACCTCAAATATACGTCGAATCCCAAACGCCGGTCGTGAAATTCGTCAAGGACGCAGCGGTAGACACTAGGAACGAAAACAATCTACAAGATATACCTTTTATAGACGACGAGGACGAAGAGAATAAATTAACGAAGAGGAGATTGCACGGTTTAGAGAAACACAAAAGTATGTCTAACATACCAGAAAGAATAGACGAGGTCAGTTCCTTAGAGCAATCGAATGAACGCCTTTCAAACAGTTTCAATAGAGCGAAATCTCCTACGTTCGTTGAGAAATTCAAGAAGTTCTTTATCGATATAGGTCTTGTTAAAACTGTTAGTGCGCCTAACACGGAAAACACCACCACTCCACCGAAAACGATATCAAATACATTACCGAAGAGTTTGAATTCGAGTTATAGGACGAGAAGCGTATCACCGAAGCCTTTGGAAACGAGAGAATCTTCGACTTTACCGAAAGACATGAGGTTTAGAAAAGTGAGATCGACGCAAACGGTTTATATTAAGCAAGAATCACCTTTGCTCTTGAAGAGGAACCAAGAGGTGCAAACCAATGAGCACGTTTCTGTAGTCCAATTGAATGGTAATGAATTCATAAAGGACTCTGAATCGGAGAGGATAGTTAAAGAAGTTGTGTATGTGAAATCTATAGAGAAAGCCGAGATTTATACGGGCAAAGACAGTGGTAGTACTATAATTGTTATACCACCAGCCGATTGAGGAGTGGTTGATTGAGTTTTGGTCATTATCACTTTGCTTGGAGTACCAAGCGTTGTTGGATATTTATTTAATCTGTGCGACATGTTATAGGTTGATAGACGAAAGTATTGTTGAGTTTCTATTTTTTCTGTTATTATTAATTATAAAGATCCTGGCAAATTGACAATATTAACGTAATTCAATCAATAAACTATTCATTTGCATGCTTCCAATTAAATTGTTGAATCAAAATATAAATCAGTATTTGATAAGTACATGTTTTTGTAATGCAAATGCCACCGCAAATTCAAAATACTATCATTCATAAGTAGCTGCAACTGATAATGGTATCTTATAATTCGGACGTATTCAAAATGTAGGTAACAAAATTATAGTCTGGATTAAATGTGTATTGAAATTGTATAAGTAGGTAATTAAATATGTAAAGACAAAAATCGTTTACGTCCTTTTCATGTGATGGCCAAAGTGATGCCAAAATACAAGAGCCTAATTCGGCATTGTCGAAGTATTATTTGTCGGCGTTTTCATTAATCTATCTGTAGCATGTTAGTTCTGCTTTTGAGAAGATTAAACAAGCAAAACGTTTACTACCTCAAGTTTCTCCGTGCTTTCAGAAGGCATGTCATACTGTTACTCGTTACTCTGCTATATCTGCAATCCAATTCACATTTATCCTAAATAAAGCCTAAACCTCAGCAGTTGAGGTATTAATAATTAAGGCTTATAACGATGTAGCATGTAGTTTAATCAAGTAAAAATCTCTGTAATCTCATACTAAAGATAGATTTATTGAGAAACGTCGCTAGTTTCTTGTCTAGTGAATTGTATACTCAGTGATGTGATATCGTTTCTGTATTTTTATATTATGACGTAGACATTGTGCTAACATAATGTGCCTTGGATTCTTCTTAGAGATGCTAAATAGTTACCACCAGTTAGCTTTTGGTTTTTGTGCCCTATGAGTTTAGTTATAGAGTCCAGATATCGACGCTAAAATGTATTGATAAAAGTTGAAAGAAACTTTTCTCTCTATGTATTCAAAATACATAGTCAAAAGAAAGTTGTTGTTGTTATTAGAATCTATTAAAACCAAAATTAAGTGGCGCCGCCTTTGTCAAATGAGTGCAAGTAGAAAGAGATCTCTTTTTCAACGCTCCGATTGATGGTTTGTGCATGTAACTGAACTGTATTTAAACAAAACGGACACTACTGTAAATATGAAATGAAATTAGACTGATTTGCTAAATTTATTTAAGCGAAGTATGTTAACAATCTTTATATTTATGACATTCCGCATTGTAGTTGTCACAAATGATTTTTATATTATTAATTGTTTATTTATCTGACATTTTACACTACTACTCGGAAACGACAGCTGTCAAAGTGACATATGACCCATACGTCAAGTGACAGTTTGTCATTCCCATACGATTTTATTGTCTATACTATAATGACATCAGCGTAGGAAACTTGTCACCTTCCAATTTTTTAAAAGTATTTTGTTTTTAGGTTGATTTAATTAATTAAGTTTTAACATAGCTATTCCAAAATGATGTCATTGTAGCAGAAAAAATATATAAAATTTGAATAATTGAAAAAATAAATAGTTGATGAACAAGAAAAGGGCGTGTTATTATGAATGAAGTTGTTTTAATACGTGATGTAAAGAATGTATTTATTGATGGAAGTGTATTTCAGTGAATTTGTATATCGTGTTGGATTAAATGAGAATTTGAAATAAATATTTCTTGTTGTGTTTTTATAATCCGTGTAAAAATACCTCTGTATTTTGCTCTTGATTTATTAATAATTGCTTGATTTTATGCTTTTTCACCGTATAAAGACAAGAGATATTAACAAAAGCTTTAATGCAGTCCTAAAATATTAAATTCATTATAACAACTGAAGTAACTCTGAAATATCCGAAAAAAAACATTATTAGTCAGAAGTTTTTATCATAATCCTCTATTTACACGTTTTTTAGACCAGTAAAACGTCTATTACACTAGGACCAAGAATTGATTACGCTTGTAAATCACATTCCACGCCAGAGAATTCACACTGTGACTCGTTACAAATATCTCTGTGGTGACTGTACTGCCATTCTTATGAAGAGTTTACTTGTTTAACGCTACTTTTTAGATAATCTCAAAGATTTAATTGTTGTTTTGTGTGTATCTTTGATATTCATCAATACAAAAAAAATAGACCTTATTTTTTTATCACAAATATAATTAATTTAGTTTGTCTAAAATTTCAAATTATCGTAAGGACGGCAATGTAGCAGCTGCTACTTTATTACGTGCTACTCATGAATATCTACTGATGCACGCCGATAGTGAATATATCAAGAACTAGTCTGTTCCTAGGCAGTAAAAAAAAAACTGTCAATGACAAATTAATTTTATGCGAGCATCGAAAGAAAACAATATGTATCGCTTACTGTGCATCATTTTCACGAAGAACTATCAATTTGTTATAAAGGACACAATGGCCAATGATCCCACCAGTTACAACAAAGTATAGTACTCTGTGGAAAAAATACTGAGGGTTAATATTTTTAAGTCTCACAATGCTTTCTGTTATTTTCCGTTTTTTCCAAGCGTTTATTGTAAGTAGCAGCAAGCAGCAGAACACCAGGATACTAAATAACATTGACTGATATGAAATGTTGATTTTCAACCTAATCACCAACAGCTTAAGATTTAAAATTAATTTTAAAATTTCGACGCTTTAGTTAAAGTCGTTGTTGATTATACATCGACACGCATAGCACGATACAGATTCAGGGGTTAAGTAAGAGTTCTTAGGTTGTATTATATCTAATTGTGCGTTTTCATTTAAAGGTATTTTAATAACAGGGCTATCAAATCCATACACAAAGTAAATAGTGTGAAACAGCGTCAGCGCGGTAGTGAGAAATGATACTTACTACCAGGATGTAGATCTCTATGTAACTAAATCATCAACTTATACCGGGTGTTACAAAAATACCCGTTATAGCTGAAGGGTGTTGAAGTATATCATATAAACAGTACTCTGCCAAATTTTCAAAACCTTTGCATTAACTTTTAACTTTCAGTAAAAAGGCTAATTTTTAATAATTAATAAATACATCGAGTGTGCTATGTCACATCACTATTTTAGGTTAATGACCTTATCAGGAGTAATGGCACACTACCTATCTCCTATGTTTTCTAATTTTTTTTTTCTATTCTCCTAGTACACACCCACACATACACACTAAGAATGAGAGAGAAAATATACTTAAAAACATGTCTGCGTTAGCCAGTTTACACAGTAAATACTTAACCTATTTCGATCGAAAATAAAATGAAAAGAAATTAAATAGGAATCAAATCATTGGCAAAATGGTATGGTAACCGACGCTGTTCAGCCGGTAGTCTAATTTCAGTAAAAAAAAATATAATACATATTATTATCAACGCGCACATCATTTCATAGCATCGTTTCCGACTCAGCTGTTTCTGAATTACAGATCAAACACCATTTTAAGTAGTACCTATTTATGATAGATAGGTAAAATTTATTTAAACACTGATATGCGAGTCTAACTTTTAGTTCATACTGTAATGGTCCGACAAATCTGATTGATATTACGATAATAAAAAAAATGATATGCGACATAATTCACAAACGATTTTGGCGTATTTAAAAACAAATATTTGCGAACTACTATTTGTACTTTACCTTTTCACTTCCTTATTCACTATTTAAGCATTACTTGTGAGGTTCACTCACCTACACTTTATTAGGCACTTAATTTTATTCCACAAGAAAAAACTAAAGATCGCGGCCAACCTCTGGTTCACTGACGTTTCAGTATAATTACATCTTTTCAAAATAGTCTCAATTTATATCAATACAACACTGCATCCCATGTAACACTGATAAAAGCACTTTTCATAGAACTCGGAATAAGAGAACACGGACATTTTCGAAACGTGATCACATCGACGACGTATGAACAACTGAATAAAGAAAAAGTGATAAAAAGGGAAAGCCGCCAATTTGAGTCCTTTTATTATAAGCCGCTGCATAGTGTGCGGCATGTCAAAGGCGCACAGAAAGGTACCTATAGTTCCGCAATTAAATCTGAGAAGTAGCGGGATAGGGTTGCCATCTTTTCTTATTAGATCGGAAATATTGTCCTTAAAGCCGGACTAAGTCAAATCTCTCGCGAAGCCGTAAAACAATACTACCGTAGTAGACAGTAATATTAGTTCACGGCCTCGCGAGGGTTACTGCCTAGTTATTCAGAGGGTGCGTTAAGCAAAAATCACTAACTTTCAATTGATTTTGTAGTAAGACGTAACATACAAATAAGCGGTAATTAAAGATAAGATAACTACATCATAATTTTAACGCTTTTATCACAGCCAAAACGTGAATTCATAAAATAAGGCTTGATCGTAACATCAAAACTGCACAACCTATTTTGAAAAAGGTTTTTTTTATAAAGTAATTTCGGAGACTATACGATGCAAACAAACTAACGATTTGTATTCAAATTTCGCAAATGCCCGTGCAACACTGCGTCTTTTTGGGTATTTGACGTTTTTCGAATTTGTGTGTATTCATAGTTTATTTGATATAGCTTCGGCACAGGTATACCAAAAACCTATGAAAACTATACCGCCGGACATGTGACATTAACATTTAGCTGCACACAATCTAAAAAGTCAAACATGTCCCGCTAAAGACGGATAGATGACAACCCTAGACAGGCGGCAATGTTAAAGTTTGAGCCTAAACTTCTAGTTGCCTAGTACCGAGGTGATCAACATTTTATTGTACAAATTAGAAAAATCGTCGCAGGACATTGTTGCAACTAATTTTTTTACATACGTACGTAAGTACATAATACGTTACGTATTATGAACGTTACGTATTAGGAATTGTTAATTGACAAAGATTTTGTAAATTTTTATTGTTGTTGATAAGATAGTACATGGTTGTATTTTTAGTATTTACAAATT